GTTCATTTTTTGTGTTACAACTTTACAGCGCTATACAGCGTTGCCTTTTTGTTGGATTACTGATTAGGATGTATGACTAGCGCTGTGATGAAAACCTGAATTACACGGGGAGAACGGTCGTGATACAGAAATTCCGTATTACGGGAATCCTCTTCTTTTGCAGCCAAAATGTTGCGCATTCCCTTTCCAGTTCATCTGAAACTTCAGTGCATTTACGGGCTACCGTTTGTTGTTCTCTCATTACAGCCGTAACCCGCTGTATCTGTTGAGAATTAGTCGTCTGAAGTTTCAAGAGAAGTTGTATTTCGGCGCTAATATACTCAGAGCGGTATGAAAAGGAAGCTGCATGAAGAGGAACCTCCTCGATAAATTACTGTCCGAAAATAGGGGACGGTTATACTTTTTGATTAGTAAAACCTTTTTAGGTGTTTTGTGCTGTAACAGTTACACAAAAAGCATAATCTTGTCTGTGTGTTTGTGCATGTGTGTGTGTGTGTTTTGTGTGTATCTGTGCCCCAGTGCACTTTGTCCGGTGTTTTCTCAACGGCCAGAAAAGCTAGAAAGCCAGGATTTTAGGATGGTGTTCCTGCCTAGGTGTAACCTTGCAGATTCAAATTCAGCCTTCATCTACGCCTAGATCTTACGTAAGATCATGTGAAAGATTTGGCGGGAAAAATACTATCTTGAGGATCACGAAAGCTAGAAAACTAAAATTTCAGGATAATTTCAGTCTATTTACGATCCAAAGATTCTAAGTTCAGACTTCATGCAGGCCTAGATTTAATGTGTAGACATATGAGAATTTTGGCGCGAATAACTAACCCAAGAGCCAGAAAAGCTAAGAAGCTGAAATTTTAAAAGGATGTTTTCTTCCTGTACGGTACCTCATAAACTCGAATTTAGATAACACATAAGGCTAAGTTTCGCGTATGAGCATGCGAAATTTTCGGCGGGATATTCTCCAATTCGGAAGCCGGACAAGATACAAAGCTGGTACTTTAGAACGATGTTTCCCGTCCATATGTGACCATTTAAGTTAAAACTGATCTTCCATATACGTTTAGGTCTCACGGTACGGACATTTGGATGTGTCGGTGGGGAAGTTTCTGCTTTGGGAGCCAGACGAGATGGAAAGCTGGAAGTTTAGGATGATGTTTCCTGTTGATATATAGTCCTAGAACATCAAATTCAGCTTTCATGTCCGCTTAAGCCTCACGAAAGGACATGTAAAACTTCACGTTAGAAATTTTTATTCCAGAAACCAGAAAAGATTGCTGAAATTTCCGGAGAATGTTTTCTGCACATGCGCAATTTTTATTGGGGAATTTCGTAGCTTGGAGTGTTTTTGAACAAACCGAAGTAGAAAGCAGTGAAAATTCTTAACAGCAAACGTTTAGTATATGGGACTGCTTAAAGCGAGTGATCGCACTGGCTGGCTTGGTGTGCGCTGCTATTGTTTTTGATAAAATTTTTTTTTCAGCACACCGCTTCAGTCACGACGTTTGAATGGTTCATTGAATCGTGTGCCAGCCAACTTTTATGACAGTGTCTGGAAAATTCTGGAACGTACGCAGGGTGGCATCGTTATAGCTGCACAGCATCTCCCACAAGTGCTGTTTTAACAGTTGTTAAAAGACTGTTTTATTGAAAATTGATGAGTGGTGGTGTGCCCTAGGTTAGCTAATGCGGTCATGCGTTTTGTGCAGTTTTGTCTAGCGAACGTCCGCTTATAAAAATGCTCGATGCTTTGCTGGATGGTATGTGCGGGAGTCGTCAGAGTGTTCTTTTCCGCCAAAACTTACATTTTCTCGTATGTGAGAACTAGGCGTGTGTGGAAGTTGAGTATTAATTTTCCAGAATCGTACCTAGACAGGAAACACCCTCATGAATTTTTGCCTTTCTGCCTTATCTGGTTCTGGAGTTGGAAAATTTCCCGTCCAGGTCGAGCAGTTCGTACGGCAGAC